GCATCATCGGTCATCGACGCTCGCGAATGAAGAGCGCCCGCTGCACTTCCTGCACATGTGCGGACCCTTCCGCGTTATGGGGGTGGAACCGCTCGTTCCGAGTGTTTTTCTTCCGCCGGGTCACGTGGCTGCGCTTGTGTGGGCCTATTACCAAGCCAGCAAGGGCGTGGGAGGGTTGCGAGCATCATCGGTCATCGGCGCTCGCGAAAGAAGAGCGCCCGCTGCACTTCCTGCACATGTGCGGATCCTTCCGAGTTTTGGGGGTGGAACCGCTCGTTCCGATCGTTTTTCTTCCGCCGGGTCACGTGGCTGCGCTTGTCTAGGCCTATTACCAAGCCAGCAACGGCGTAAGAGGGTTGCGAGCATCATCAGTCATCGGCGCTCGCGAATGAAGAGCGCCCGCTGCACTTCCTGCACATGTGCGGACCCTTCCGCGTTATGGGGGTGGAACCGCTCGTTCCGAGCGTTTTTCTTCCGCCGGGTCACGTGGCTGCGCTTTTCTGGGCCTATTACCAAGCCAGCAAGGGCGTGGGAGGGTTGCGAGCATCATCGGTCATCGGCGCTCGCGAATGAAGAGCGCCGACTGCACTTCCTGCACATGTGCGGATCCTTCCGCGTTTTGGGGGTGGAACCGCTCGTTCCGATCGTTTTTCTTCCGCCGCGTCACGTGGCTGCGCTTTTCTGGGCCTATTACCAAGCCAGCAAGGGCGTGGGAGGGTTGCGAGCATCATCGGTCATCGGCGCTCGCGAATGAAGAGCGCCGACTGCACTTCCTGCACATGTGCGGATCCTTCCGCGTTTTGGGGGTGGAACCGCTCGTTCCGATCGTTTTTCTTCCGCCGCGTCATGTGGCTGCGCTTTTCTGGGCCTATTACCAAGCCAGCAAGGGCGTGGGAGGGTTGCGAGCATCATCGGTCATCGGCGCTCGCGAATGAAGAGCGCCCGCTGCACTTCCTGCACATGTGCGGACCCTTCCGCGTTATGGGGGTGGAACCGCTCGTTCCGAGCGTTTTTCTTCCGCCGGGTCACGTGGCTGCGCTTGTCTGGGCCTATTACCAAGCCAGCAAGGGCGTAGGAGGGTTGCGAGCATCATCGGTCATCGACGCTCGCGAATGAAGAGCGCCGACTGCACTTCCTGCACATGTGCGGATCCTTCCGCGTTTTGGGGGTGGAACCGCTCGTTCCGATCGTTTTTCTTCCGCCGCGTCATGCGGCTGCGCTTGTGTGGGCCTATTACCAAGCCAGCAAGGGCGTGGGAGGGTTGCGAGCATCATCGGTCATCGGCGCTCGCGAATGAAGAGCGCCCGCTGCACTTCCTGCACATGTGCGGATCCTTCCGCGTTTTGGGGGTGGAACCGCTCGTTCCGGTCGTTTTTCTTCCGCCGGGTCATGTGGCTGCGCTTCTCTGGGCCTATTACCAAGCCAGCAAGGGCGTGGTAGCGTTGCGAGCATCATCGGTCATCGGCGCTCGCGAATGAAGAGCGCCCGCCGCTCTTCCTGCACATGTGCGGATCCTTCCGAGTTTTGGGGGTGGAACCGCTCGTTCCGATCGTTTTTCTTTCGCCAGGTCACGTGGCTGCGCTTGTCTAGGCCTATTACCAAGCCAGCAAGGGAGTAAGAGGGTTGCGAGGATCATCGGTCATCGGCGCTCGCGAATGAAGAGCGCCCGCTGCACTTCCTGCACATGTGCGGGTCCTTACGCGTTTTGGGGGTGGAACTGCTTGTTCCGATGGTTTTTCTTCCGCCGGGTCACGTGTCTGCGCTTGTCTGGGCCTATTACCAAGCCAGCAAAGGCGTGGGAGGGTTGCGAGCATCATCGGTCATCGGCGCTCGCGAATGAAGAGCGTCCTCTGCACTTCCTGCACATGTGCGGACCCTTCCGCGTTTTTGGTGTGGAAATGCTCGTTCCGAGCGTTTTTCTTCCGCCGGGTCACGTGGCTGCGCTTGTCTGTGCCTATTACCAAGCCAGCAAGGGCGTGGGAGGGTTGCTAGCATCATCAGTCATCGGCGCTCGCGAATGAAGAGCGCCCGCTGCATTTCCTGCACATGTGCGGATCCTTCCGCGTTTTGGGAGTGGAACTGCTCGTTCCGAGATTTTTTCTTACGCCGGGTCACGTGGCTACGCTTGTCTGGGCCTATTACCAAGCCAGCAAGGGCGTGGGAGGGTTGCAAGCATCATCGGTCATCGGCGCTCGCGAATGAAGAGCGCCCGTTGCACTTCCTGCACATGTGCGGACCCTTCCGCGTTATGGGGGTGGAACCGCTCGTTCCGAGCGTTTTTCTTCCGCCGGGTCACGTGGCTGCGCTTGTCTGGGCCTATTACCAAGCCAGCAAGGGCGTGGGAGGGTTGCGAGCATCATCGGTCATCGGCGCTCGCGAATGAAGAGCTCCCGTTGCACTTCTTGCACATGTGCGGACCCTCCTGCACATGTGCGGATCCTTCCGCACATGTGCGGATCCTTCCGCGTTATGGGGGTGGAAGCGCTCGTTCCGAGCGTTTTTCTTCCGCCTTGTCACGTGGCTGCGCTTGTCTGGGCCTATTACCAAGCCAGCAAGGGCGTGGGAGGGTAACGAGCATCATCGGTCATCGGCGCTCGCGAATGAAGAGCTCCCGCTGCATTTCCTGTACATGTGCGGATCCTTCCGCGTTTTGGGAATGGGACTGCTCGTTCCGAGCGTTTTTCTTCCGCCGGGTCACGAGGCTACGCTTGTCTGGGCCTATTACCAAGCCAGCAAGGGCGTGGGAGGGTTGCGAGCATCATCGGTCATCGGCGCTCGCGAATGAAGAGCGCCCGCTGCACTTCCTGCACATGTGCGGACCCTTCCGCGTTATGGGGGTGGAACCGCTCGTTCCGAGCGTTTTTCTTTCGCCGGGTCACGTGGCTACGCTTGTCTGGGCCTATTACCAAGCCAGCAAGGGCGTGGGAGGGTTGCGAGCATCATCGGTCATCGGCGCTCGCGAATGAAGAGCGCCGACTGCACTTCCTGCACATGTGCGGATCCTTCCGCGTTTTGGGGGTGGAACCGCTCGTTCCGATCGTTTTTCTTCCGCCGCGTCATGTGGCTGCGCTTCTCTGGGCCTATTACCAAGCCAGCAAGGGCATAGGAGCGTTGCGAGCATCATCGGTCATCGGCGCTCGCGAATGAAGAGCGCCCGCTGCACTTCCTGCACATGTGCGGACCCTTCCGCGTTATGGGGGTGGAACCGCTCGTTCCGAGCGTTTTTCTTCCGCCTGGTCACGTGGCTGCGCTTGTCTGGGCCTATTACCAAGCCAGCAAGGGCGTGGGAGGGTTGCGAGCATCATCGGTCATCGGCGCTCGCGAATGAAGAGCGCCCGCTGCACTTCCTGCACATGTGCGGATCCTTCCGCGTTTTGGGGGTGGAACCGCTCGTTCCGATCGTTTTTCTTCCGCCGGGTCATGTGGTTGCGCTTCTCTGGGCCTATTACCAAGCCAGCAAGGGCGTGGGAGTGTTGCGAGCATCATCGGTCATCGGCGCTCGCGAATGAAGAGCGCCCGCTGCACTTCCTGCACATGTGAGGACCCTTCCGCGTTTTGGGGTTGGAACTGCTCGTTCCGAGCGTTTTTCTTCCGCCGGGTCACGTGGCTGCACTTGTCTGGGCCTATTACCAAGCCAGCAAGGGCGTGGGAGGTTTGCGAGCATCATCGGTCATCTACGCTCGCGAATGAAGAGCGCTCGCTGCACTTCCTGCACATGTGCGGATCCTTCCCCGTTTTGGGGGTGGAAGCGCTCGTTCTTCCTTCCCCTCGGTCACGTCACTGCGCTTGTCTGGGCCTATTACCAAGCCAGCAAGGGCGTGGGAGGGTTGCGAGCATCATCGGTCATCGGCGCTCGCGAATGAAGAGCGTCCGCTGCACTTCCTGCACATGTGCGTATCCTTCCGCGTTTTGGGGTGGAAGCGCTCGTTCCGAGCGTTTTTCTTCCATCGGGTCACGTGGCTGCGCTTGTGTGGGCCTATTACCAAGCCGGCAAGGGCATGGGAGGGTTGCGAGTATCATCGGTCATCGGCGCTCGCGAATGAAGAACGTCTGATGCACTTCCTGCACATGTGCGGATCCTTCTACGTATTGGGGGTGGAACCGCTCGTTCCGAGCGTTTTTCTTCCCCCCGGTCATGTGGCTGCGCTTGTCTGGGCCTATTACCAAGCCAGCACGGGCGTGGGAGGGTTGCGAGCATCATCGGTCTGTCAAACATTGTATGTTTACATTATGTAGGCTATAGTGGGTTTAGCCTTAGGGGGTACAACAAACTTAGGGTTTCCTACTTGTACCCAACTTTCTGCTAGTTTCACCATTCTCGTTCTCTCTAACATTGTAACATGGTATCGCGAGTCTAGGTCGTAACCTAGGACCGATAGGGCCCATCGTTCCGCTAGAAGCGCCCTCGAGCGCCGTGTCTCCTTAGCGCCCTCGAGCGCCTCTCTCCTAGTGCGCCCTCGTGCGCCTCTCTTCCTCCTGCTGCCCGTGCGCAGCCCGCTAGTGCCGCGCGCGGCCCGTTTTTTTTTTTTTTTTAGCGCGTGCCGACCCCTAGCCGCCCGCGCGGCCCGTTTTTTGAGCGCGCGCCGACCCCTAGCCGCCCGCGCGACCGTCGCCGCCCACGAGCAGCCCCCCTAGCCGCCCGTCGACAGCGGGGCGGGCCGACCCCTAGCCGCCCGACCCCTAGCTGCCCGTCGACACCCCACTAGGCCGCCGCCAGCGCGCTAGTCCGGCCCACGCACGGCCACGGCCCGCCCGCTACAGCCGCCCACGCGCACGCCCCCCGTCGCGCTCCGCCACGTAGCCCAGGCCGAGCCGCCCGAACCGAGCCGAGCCGCCCGACCCGAGCCGCGCCGCCCGAACCGAGCCGCGCCGCCCGAACCGAACACCGCCGCACTGGCCGAGCCGCGCCGCCCTACTGTACCCCACCAGCTACTACTACTGCTCCTACTGCTACAGTTGCTACTGTTACTCCTGCTACTGCTACTGCTGCTACTTCAACTATGGCTAGCCCCTCTGTACTAGCTTTCGATGCTGAGGGCCGCCCACTGAAGTTTGAGACCTGGCTCGATGACCTGCACCTATTCCTCCAGCTCACTGCCAAGGAGGATATCTCACTGTACGATCACGCGCTAGGCAATGCTGCTGCCCCTGCTGCTACTGCTGACAGTACTGCCCGTTCACAGTGGCAGACTCGTGACGCCCACGCTCGCTTTGCTATTCGCAACTCCCTGCCGGTAGATGAGCGCGAGCACTTTGGCCAGCACAAAACTGCGCAGGCACTGTACACTGCTGTAGTTGCACGCTACTCCTCACCTGCCTCTGCTGCGCTAGGCCGTCTCTCGCTCCCCTACCTGTTCCCAGACCTGTCCGCGTTCGCCACAGTCGCTGACCTCACCACGCACCTCCGCACTAGTGAGGCTCGCTTCCGTGCCGCTATGCCCGCTGAGTTTCTTGCCACCCACCCCCCCCCGCTCTGGCTCACTCTCTACCACCTTGTCACCCGTCTCCCTGACTCTCTTCGTGCGGTCAGGGACCACTTCCTCGCTCGCTCCCCCACTGAGCTCACCATAGACCTGCTCGAGAAGGAACTGCTTGCAGCTGAGACTAGCATAGTCGCTGTAGCTGCCTCTCGTGGCGACCCCCGCACCCCTTTCTTCGAGGGGTGTTCCCCTTCCCCCCTTCTCCCCTCTGTCGCCTCTGCTGCTGCTGTCGACCTAGTTGGTACTGAGCAGGTCGGGACTGCGTCCGCTCCGAGCTGGCGCCGCAGCGGCAAGGGCAAAGGGGGCAAGGGAGGTGGAGGTGACGGCGGGGGAGGTGGTGGTGGGGGCGGTGGCGGTGGTGGGGGTGGTGGCGGGACTGGAGGGGCTAGTGGCAGCGGTGGGGGTGGAGGCGGCAGCAGCGGAGGAGGTGGCCGTGGTGGGGGCGGTGGTTGGGGAGGTGGTGGACGCGGAGGCGGCAGAGGCGGTGGTGGTCGAGGTGGTGGCGGCGGCGGTGGTGGTCGTGGAGGCGCTGGCGGTGGCCAGAGCCAGCAGCACACTCCGTCGTCCCAGGAGCTTCGTGAGTGGTACTCTCAGCACGGGGGGGGGGGGGGGGGGGGGGGGTGGCCTTAGCTGTACGTACGTCATCCGCACTGGTGACCGCACTGGCCAGACGTGTGGGAGGGCGCACACCACGCAGCGCTGCTTCTCCCGCCTTGACGATGCTTGGCGCACTCAGTTCCCTGCTGCCACTGAGCTGCCCCGCTGGGCTGACCTGATGAAGAAGAACATTGATATCTATGCTCTTGACTTTGATGCTATTCTCACTGCCATGTATGTGTTGTCTACTAGTGGAGAGGGTGATTAGTACCTGCGTGTTCCGCCCGACCCGGGCATTCGGACCAGTGACGCTGCCGCTCTAGGTGCTTGCGTGTCTGCTGCCCCAGGTGCTGGTGAGGCTGCTGCTCTAGGTGCTTGCGTGTCTGCTGCCCCAGGTACTGGTGAGGCTGCTGCTCTAGGTGCTAGTGAGTCTGCGCCCCCTGGTACTGAGTCCACTGAGGCACTGCACACCTTCACTCTAGACTCAGGAGCTTCTCGCTGTTTCTTTCGTGACCGCACTGCCCTTGAGCAGCTTGCCCGGCCAGTTGCTGTCTCCCTTGCTGACCCCTCTGGGGGTCCGGTCATTGCGACCTCCTCCACTGTCCTTCCTTGTCCTGCGGTTCCGTCGGGCACACTGTCCGGTCTCCACCTCCCCTCGTTCTCTACGAACTTGGTGGCGGGTTGTGCGCTCCAGGACGGGGGTGTCCACCAGTTCACCCCTGCCTACGAGCGCGTGACACACTGCACGTGTGCTCGGACGGGCCGTCACCTGGCTACCTTCACTAGGCAGCCGGGGTCGGACCTGTACACACTGACCACTGAGTCCCCTCATGTAGCTACGTCTGCGTCTGCGTCAGGTCAGCTGTCTGCCCCCTGCTCGTGTCGCTCTCTCGCGCACGAGACTGTCCTCTGGCACCACCGCCTTGGTCACCCGTCAGTGCAGCGCCTTCGTGCCATGCACAAACGGTACCTTGTCTCTGGTCTTCCCCGGGTACTCCCTCCCCTCCCACCCTCGCCCGCTCCTCCCTGTCTTCCTTGTGTCGAGGGGCGGCAGCGCGCCGCTCCTCACTCCTCCTCGTTTCCCCAGACGACTGCTCCCTTGCAGACGCTCCACATGGACGTGTGGGGCCCAGCCCGCGTCCGTGGACAGGGTCAGGAGAGGTACTTCCTGATCGTTGTTGACGACTACTCGCGCTACACCACGGTCTTCCCCTTGCGCACCAAGGGTGAGGTCCCTTATGTTTTGATCCCTTGGATCCGCGCTTCTCGTCTCCAGCTCAGCGAGCGGTTCCACTCGGACTTTCCTGTCCTGCGTCTGCACTCAGACAGAGGTGGTGAGTTCTCCTCCGACCTCTTGGCAGCCTACTGTGCGGAGCACGGTATCCGCCAGTCGTTCACGCTTCCGGCCTCTCCACAGCAGAATGGGGTTGCTGAGCGCCGCATTGGCTTGGTCATGGAGGTCGCTCGTACCTCCTTGATCCATGCGGCTGCCCCCCACTTTCTGTGGCCGTTTGCGGTCCGGTACGCGGCGCATCAGCTCAACCTCTGGCCCCGTGTCTCCTTGCCGGAGACCTCGCCCACACTGCTGTGGACGGGGGAGGTTGGCGATGCGTCGCGTTTCTGGGTCTGGGGATCTCGAGCTTTTGTCCGCGATACGTCAGCGGACAAGCTCTCCTCTCGCGCTGTTCCCTGTGTCTTCCTTGGCTTTGTCCCGGACGCGTCTGGTTGGCAGTTTTACCACGCCACCTCGCGCCGTGTCCTGCCCTCTCAGGACGTCACTTTTGACGAGTCGGTGCCCTACTACCGCCTCTTCCCCTACCGCACTGCCCCGCTCCCCCCCCCGCCTCTCTTCCTCGCGCCAGGTGCTGCTGTGGTAGACCCCCTCCTCCCTCAGGGTGCCGCTCCCTCAGGTGTGTCCCAGGTAGACCCGGTTGAGCCTGTCGAGGTAGCTGTCGACTCTCGTCCTGCTAGGGGTGCTGAGCCTGAGCGTGCGGAGCCTGGGGGTGCGGAGCCTGGGGTTGCGGAGTCTGGGGGTGCGGAGCCTGCGGGTGCTGAGTCTGGGGGTGCGGAGCCTGAGGGTGCTGAGTCTGGGGGTGCTGAGCCTGAGGGTGTTGCGACTGAGAGTGCTACACCTGGAGGCGCTCTTTCCTCACAGCAGCTGCGTGAGTGGTACTTACAGTACTGCAGCCTCAGGAGAGGTGCTGCTGGAGCTCGTGCTCGTGCTTCCCCTCCTAGGCGGGAGCTGCCCTCTCCCCAGCGGCTTCGAGAGTGGTACGCTCGTCGCTGCAGTCTCCGGAGTGGCGCTACTAGTGTCGCGGACCCTGGAGCTGGAGGTGCTGCTGGTGCTGGAGCTGCTGGAGGTGGTGCTGCTGCTGGCGCTACTGGAGGTGCTGCTGGTCCTGGCGCTGCTGGAGGTGCTGCTGGTGCTACTGGAGCTGTTGGAGGTGCTGCTGGTACTGGTGCTGCTGGTGCTGGTACTGCTGGAGCTGCTGGAGGTGCTGCTGGTGTTGGAGCTGCTGGAGCTGCTGCTGGTCCTGGTGCTGCTGGTGCTGGTACTACTGGAGCTGCTGGAGGTGCTGCTGGTGTTGGAGTTGCTGGAGCTGCTGCTGGTCCTGGTGCTGCTGGTGCTGGTACTACTGGAGCTGCTGGAGGTGCTGCTGGTGCTGGAGCTGCTGGAGGCACTGCTGCTGCTGGCGGTGCTGCTGGAGGTGCTGCTGGTGCTGGAGCTGCTGGGGCTGCTGGTCCTGGAGGTGCTCGTATTGGAGGTACTGGAGCTGCTGGGACTGGAGCGGCTGAGGGGACTGGAGCTGGATTTGCTGAGCGGCCGCGGCCGTACTACGTTCCGCTCCTTCAGCAGGTTCTTGGTCTCCCGCCCTCTACAGGTCCTACTCCTCCCTACTGATTCCACCGCCTGTCCAGTCACAGTTACAGCCTGCCTCTCCACTCCCTGGTCCTTCTCCTTACACTGCGCCGACGGGCAGTCTTACTGAGCGTCGTGAGCCTGAGTCTTGTCCTCCGTCGCCTGAGTCTAGTCCAGAGTCGCCTGAGTCGCGTCCAGAGTCGCCTGTCCGAGCTGTCCGCGCTGGTCGCCGTGCTCCGCGTGAGCGTCCTCCTCCTGTCCTTGGCACTCACTATATGACCCTGCGTCCTTCCACTGCTCCACAGCGCGTCCCTCTGCCGTCTCCTCCTGCGTCCTCTCTTCCTGACGTTGCTGACCCGCCGTCAGACCTTACTCGTGCTGCCAGTCCTACTGTCGCGCGTCTCCTTGCCACTGTTGTCACTGACCCTACCTTTGAGTCCTCTGCTGCGTCTGCTCTAGTCGCTGAGCTTGTTGACTTTGCTGCCGCCTGTCGTCTCGACTACGCCGCTAGCCTTGTTGCTGAGTCTGAGTCTGTCTGTCCTCCGTCCGTCGGGGGTGAGTGTGCTCTTGGCACGGACGTCCTTGAGGACAGACAGGAGGAGTTTGAGTGCTTTGCTGCTGCTTTACCTCATCTCGTGTCCATGCTGATTGCCCCTGAGGGAGACCCGGATGCACCAGACATCCCGACCCCACGCTCCTACGCAGAGGCGATGGAGGGTCTCTACTCATCTCAGTGGCAGACAGCCATGGACGCAGAGATGGCTTCCTGGAAGTCCACAGGCACCTACGTCGACGAGGTTCCCCCACCTGGGGCGAACATCGTCAGTGGCATGTGGATTTTAAGGGTGAAGCGGCCGCCGGGTTCTCCGCCTGTCTTCAAGGCGCGTTACGTTGCACGAGGCTTCAGTCAGCGAGAGGGAGTTGACTTCTTCCAGACCTTCTCTCCGACCCCGAAGATGACCACTCTTCGGGTTCTGCTGCACGTCGCTGCTCAGCGTGACTACGAGCTCCACTGCCTTGACTTCAGCACTGCGTTCCTACAGGGCAGTCTGCACGAGGAGATCTGGCTGCGCCGCCCACCTGGCTTCACTGGGTCGTTCCCTCCTGGTACCCAGTGGAGCCTCCGGCGGCCAGTCTACGGTCTCCGCCAGGCACCTCGTGAGTGGCAGGACACACTGAGGACTAGTCTTGCTGCTCTTGGGTTTGCTCCTACTGCTGACCCGTCGCTGTTTCTACGCACCGACACCACTCTGCCGCCGTTCTACGTTCTCGTGTACGTAGACGACTTGGTCTTTGCTACTGCTGACACTGAGGCACTCGCCCACGTGAAGTCGGAGCTGCAGAAGAGACACACGTGCACAGACCTGGGTGAGCTGACAAGCTATCTTGGCTTGCGGATCACCCGGGACAGAGCACAGCGCACCATCACCTTGACTCAGTCACACATGGTGCAGCAGGTCCTTTAGCGCTTCCGCTTCACGTACTCCTCGCCTCAGCCCACTCCTCTGCCTACCGGTCACTCGCTCTCAGCTCTGCCTTCGGATGAGTCCGTAGAGCCGAGTGGCCCGTATCCAGAGCTTGTGGGCTGCCTCATGTACCTGATGACCTGCACTCGACCTGACCTAGCCTACCCTCTTAGCATCCTAGCACGCTATGTCGCTCCTGGCCGTCACCGGAAGGAGCACATGGATGCAGCTAAGAGGGTGTTGCGCTACTTGTGCAGTACGTCGGGCATGGGGCTTGTGCTTGGAGGACGGCGCGACGTTGTCCTCACTGGACACTCAGACGCTTCTTGGGCTGACGACCAGGCTACTCAGCGGTCGTCTCAGGGTTACACCTTCAGCCTTGGCTCTGGCTCTGTTTCCTGGCGTTCTACACGCTCTTCTTCTGTTCTCAGCTCCAGTTGTGAGGCTGAGATCTACGCCACAGCCATGGCTGCCCAGGAGCTACGCTGGCTCACCTACCTGCTGACCGACCTGGGAGAGCGGCCTCGTTCTCCTCCAGTGCTGTACGTCGACAACAAGGCCGCCCTTGCCTTGTGTCGGGAGCACAGACTGGAGCACAGAACGAAGCACATCGCTCTGCGCTACTTCCTTGCTCGAGAGCTGCAGCAGCGTGGTCAGCTTCGTCTTTCGTACGTGGCCACTCGGGCCAACACTGCTGATGTGTTCACCAAGGCGCTTCAGCCTTGTGACCATCAGCGTTTCTGTACTGTTCTAGGCCTTGTGCCTACTCTCCCTCACTTGCTCACTTCTTGACTCTGCTTGTACTGTGATCTCTATATATATACCTGCATGCTTACACTTGCTAGGTTGTGATCACTGTACCTCTTGTTTATTATCAAACTGCATGTGAACTGGTCTTGTGACCGCTTGCTTGTGCTCGGAAATTGTGTGGTATCCTTGAGATCCACCCTGAGCTTTGCTTTGCTTTGCTTTGCTTTGACTGGTCTTGTGACCATCTGGTTGTCTCCCACTTAGCCTATGGGGGTGTGTCAAACATTGTATGTTTACATTATGTAGGCTATAGTGGGTTTAGCCTTAGGGGGTACAACAAACTTCGGGTTTCCTACTTCTACCCAACTTTCTGCTAGTTTCACCATTCTCGTTCTCTCTAACATTGTAACACGGTCATCTGCGCTCGCGAATGAAGAGCGCCCGCTGCACTTCTTGCACATGTGCGGATCCTTCCTCGTTTTCGGGGTGGAACCGCTCGTTCCGGGCGTTTTTCTTCCCACCGGTCACGTGGCTGCGCTTCTCTGGGGATATTACCAAGCCAGCAAGGGCGTGGGAGGGTTGCGAGCATCATCGGTCATCGGCGCCTGCGAATGAAGAGCGCCCGCTGCACTTCCTGCACATGTGCGGATCCTTCCACGTTTTGGTGGTGGAACCGCTCGTTACGATCGTTTTTCTTCCGCTCGGTCATGTGGCTGCGCTTGTCTGGGCCTATTACCAAGCCAGCAAGGGCGTGGGAGGGTTGCGAGCATCATCGGTCATCGGCGCTCGCGAATGAAGAGCGCCCGCTGCACTTCCTGCACATGTGCGGGTCCTTCCGCGTTTTGGGGGTGGAACTGCTTGTTCCGAGCGTTTTTCTTCCGTCAGGTCACGTGTCTGCGCTTGTCTGGGCCTATTACCAAGCAAGCAAGGGCGTGGTAGCGTTGCGAGCATCATCGGTCATCGGCGCTCGCGAATGAAGAGCGCCCGCCGCTCTTCCTGCACATGTGCGGATCCTTCCGAGTTTTGGGGGTGGAACCGCTCGTTCCGATCGTTTTTCTTTCGCCAGGTCACGTGGCTGCGCTTGTCTAGGCCTATTACCAAGCCAGCAAGGGAGTAAGAGGGTTGCGAGGATCATCGGTCATCGGCGCTCGCGAATGAAGAGCGCCCGCTGCACTTCCTGCACATGTGCGGGTCCTTACGCGTTTTGGGGGTGGAACTGCTTGTTCCGATGGTTTTTCTTCCGCCGGGTCACGTGGCTGCGCTTGTCTGTGCCTATTACCAAGCCAGCAAGGGCGTGGGAGGGTTGCGAGCATCATCAGTCATCGGCGCTCGCGAATGAAGAGCGCCCGCTGCATTTCCTGCACATGTGCGGATCCTTCCGCGTTTGGGGAGTGGAACTGCTCGTTCCGAGCGTTTTTCTTCCGCCGGGTCACGTGGCTACGCTTATCTGGGCCTATTACCAAGCCAGCAAGGGCGTGGGAGGGTTGCAAGCATCATCGGTCATCGGCGCTCGCGAATGAAGAGCGCCCGCTGCACTTCCTGCACATGTGCGGACCCTTCCGCGTTATGGGGGTGGAACCGCTCGTTCCGAGCGTTTTTCTTCCGCCGGGTCACGTGGCTGCGCTTGTCTGGGCCTATTACCAAGCCAGCAAGGGCGTGGGAGGGTTGCGAGCATCATCGGTCATCGGCGCTCGGGAATGAAGAGCGCCGACTGCACTTCCTGCACATGTGCGGATCCTTCCGCGTTTTGGGGGTGGAAGCGCTCGTTCTTCCTTCCCTTCGGTCACGTCGTTGCGCTTGTCTGGGCCTATTACCAAGCCAGCAAGGGCGTGGGAGGGTTGCGAGCATCATCGGTCATCGGCGCTCGCGAATGAAGAGCGCCCGCTGCACTTCCTGCACATGTGCGGACCCTTCCGAGTTTTGGGGTTGGAACTGCTCGTTCCGAGCGTTTTTCTTCCGCCGGGTCACGTGGCTGCACTTGTCTGGGCCTATTACCAAGCCAGCAAGGGCGTGGGAGGTTTGCGAGCATCATCGGTCATCTACGCTCGCGAATGAAGAGTGCCCGCTGCACTTCCTGCACATGTGCGGATCCTTCCTCGTTTTGGGGGTGGAAGCGTTCGTTCTTCCTTCCCCTCGGTCACGTCGCTGCGCTTGTCTGGGCCTATTACCAAGCCAGCAAGGGCGTTAAAGGGTTGCGAGCATCATCGGTCATCGGCGCTCGCGAATGAAAAGCGTCCGCTGCACTTCCTGCACATGTGCGCATCCTTCCGCGTTTTGGGGGTGGAAGCGCTCGTTCCGAGCGTTTTTCTTCCGTTGGGTCACGTGGCTGCGCTTGTGTGGGCCTATTACCAAGCCAGCAAGGGCGTGGGAGGGTTGCGAGCATCATCGGTCATCGGCGCTCGCGAATGAAGAACGTCTGATGCACTTCCTGCACATGTGCGGATCCTTCTGCGTATTGGGGGTGGAACCGCTCGTTCCGAGCGTTTTTCTTCCCCCCGGTCATGTGGCTGCGCTTGTCTGGGCCTATTACCAAGCCAGCACGGGCGTGGGAGGGTTGCGAGCATCATCGGTCATCTGCGCTCGCGAATGAAGAGCGCCCGCTGCACTTCTTGCACATGTGCGGATCCTTCCTCGTTTTCGGGGTGGAACCGCTCGTTCCGGGCATTTTTCTTGCCATTGGTCATGTGGCTGCGCTTCTCTAGGGATATTACCAAGCCTGGAAGGGCGTGGGAGGGTTGCGAGCATCATCGGTCATCGGCGCTTGCGAATGAAGAGCGCCCGCTGCACTTCCTGCACATGTGCGGATCCTTCCGCGTTTTGGTGGTG